TATTCTACCATCTGATCTGTCAACTAGTATGCCATACAATTTTTCTTTTTCGATTTGTCCTAATGTCTATAAAGGAATGTTTACTACTATGTATCGACCCTGAAAAATAAAATAAAAACGAGACAACAATTAATTTAACGTCTGGATTTACACGTTACAATCAGATCAATGATCAATATCAAGCTTTTCTTTTAAGCTAATAATACTTGATACCGGCCTTGTCTTTTTTACGATAGTAAAAAAGAAATAGCTAGAGCATACAATTTGTAAAAAGTATAAAAAAAAAAGGACTTGAGTATATTTTATCAGGCGATATCTATCTGCTTATGTTGACATTTAATGTTCCATTTCGAATAAAACCTAAGAAAAGAACGAAAGAAATTTTCATGAAAAAGAAATATGTTTTTAAAGTAAATATTTTCTTTTGAAGACTTCTATGGTAAGTATAATGATTCATATAGGAAAGAAAGAAATAAAACGAAGATTAAATATCAATTTTGATTGAATTATTTCAAAGAAAAAATAACTCTATTTTAATTTGAAGTTTGAAAAACTTAAAAACAGATGTCGTTAAATATATATTTGATTGGCTTAGAAGAACATTCATTAAAAACCAACAGTAGAAAAAAATACTCTTCTTTCAAAACATATATTTATTCAAATCTATAAATTTTATATTGAAAATCTAATAGATTAAAGATGATTCAACTTCATGTAGATATTCTTCAAAATCTTCAACAAGCAATATTTGTTTTTAATATTCCATGTTCAGCGTAAGTTGCTTTTTAATATATAAATTTGTACAATATTTTTAATTACAATGATTCATGACGAGAATTTCTTGTTTGATTGATAAACATCTAATTTTCTACGAAGTTAAATTTTCAATAAATGTTCTTCAGATGTTTCTTCTATTCAAATATGTATTATATAAATTAGAAGATTTGATGACAGAAAGTAAATTTACAGTCATGGAGTAACCTTTAAGAATAATCAACTATGATTGATATAGAAGTCTGATATTTCCACATAAAGATTAGTTAACAGTTTTTGGTCAGAATAATTCTTATGGATGGTATATAAACTTGTTAAGAACAGAACAAATAACTTAAAGTACAAAAACATCTACATACTGTCGATACTTACGCAATAGCGAGACTATTCATGTAATCGAGTTATATTGAAATTGAAAGTACAGAATTGAATGTTTTTTTTTACTTTTATCTTCACTATAACAATAATAGATTGGACATAGAATTGATTTTGTGTCTTCATATTATGAATATATTAGAAATGTATAGGCATCAAAAAACACGAATGATATAGATTTTTTTCCAACTACATAAGAAAAAAAATATAGAAGATGTTTTAAAAGCTTAGATATTGAAATAAAATTGAAATTATCAATTATATCATAAATTAATCACTTAAGCTAGAGTGAACGACAAGTAACATGTGTATTGAATAAAATTTATACATTCAATATACAATTCCGTCGACATTATTTGAAATCAACAATCAACTCATTGAAGATTTTCTCATTGTAAAATATGAAGTAATAGAGAAATTGCAAACTGCTATCTGATATCATTTTCTATGTTTGATGTTGGATTCAGACGATGTTAAATAATTTCCATGACTACACACTCGGTCATGGACATGCTTTCTTATAAGTTGAAGCATTGCTTCATTTTTCAATTAATCTAAAGAAAATCATTCTAATATGAATAAATAAAATGTTTATGAAGTTGGGATGAAGATAGGTTTAATTAACGATTGGTATGATTTGATTTAGTAATTTGTATCATGTTTTTCAGTTAATTGTGTATACACTCTGTATAAATTAGGTTGATAGAATTCATTTAACAGAGATCGTATTAAACTGATTTAAGAATAATAAGTTATTCAAACTTTACATTTTTCGATTTCTTAGCTCTATCTCGGTTACTGCATGCATTTTTTCATAACGAACCAACAATTCAAGGCAGAGAAAATCATAATCATAAAAAAGCAATAAATACTTCTCGATTCTTTATTTGGTATTAATATAAACTGAAAGATTTGAAACGAAATCAAAATCTCGAGATAAAAAATAAGGTATATAAATTGTTTGAAACAGGCTTTGATTCTTTAATACGAATAATTTTCTTTATATGAACTTTGAATTGAAATATTGCTTCAAACTATTGAACAGCATGTCTACTGCCAGTTCTATTCACAGAAATCGTTTAACATCATCAAATCCCTATATCAAATGTAGAAAGTGGTAGTAGACTGAAGTTACCAATGTCTCTCAACCATGCGTTGATGTTCTAATTTATTCTCAGAAAAGTTTTCTTATATTGTCGAAATGCAAAAATTAGTTAGAAATATATATTCTAAAATACGAAAAATCATCCATCAGTTAATTGTTATTTGTTATCTAGTTGATTTTCCATAACTTCAAGAGAAGATATATTCTACCACTATCATCTGTTAGCTGTGTTACAAACGCCAGTAGCAATATTTATGGTAGCATACAAGTCAGTTCTTTTTTCGAAAAATAGGACATTAATAGAAAATATTTGCAAGCTATATGGAATATAAACCACTCTGAAGTCAGACAAAATTATATGTAATGCATCATCAAAATGATATTAAATAAGATTTAAATCACCATTTACGTTATAATAGCTTCATTACGATAGTATTTGAGAAATATGCTTATCGTATAATTATTTACTAAATAATAACATAATATATTCAATTGACAACGAGCGACATATTTGTACTCATTGATTATATTGTAAATTGAATATTTAATATTAGTTTGATGATAACGAAAAAGAAAAGAAACGTTTAATAATACTGTGAACTGTGATTCATTACAATTTTGATCCATTACAGTAGGGCAAATGAATCACGAATTTGCCCACATTTCAATTTTTTTAATCTATTAAGGATAGAAAATTAAATGTCAATAATATAGATATCTGACGGACAAATGTCTTCAAAGTCTATTCATATCATATAATATAATCTTTCGATGTTCGTCATATATAATTACTTGTAAAGTATTTGTTCATCATTGATTTAGTTAAATTCTGCAATCTATTCTTTTGTTAACATATAATAAGCATATGATTGCCATATTCAGCAACATCAACATGTAGTACATTCTTTCCTATAGCTCAATTCCATTCAAACAAGCTTGAGACAATCAGTTTCATAATTTTTATGACAAATAGTGTCCTAGAGTGTTATTTTTCTAGTATTGATACTTATACCATATGGTTGTAAGTTAAAATGTTAGAGAATAATTATCATTTTACAATGAATATCATACATTTTATTTCGTCAATAATCAACTAAGGTATAGAATGAGAAAGCAAAAATACATAAAGAAATTAGATTTATTATCGGTTTTTTCATATACTGCATGGTTGAAACTAGTACATCATAGAATATGACAGAGAATTGTAATTTCTAATTTTTATGATTTACAGATATTTTAATTAAGTATTCTGTTCGATTTTCTTTATAGTGATTGTAGTGTTCAAGCTGATCAATTTGTTATTGAAGATGAAGAACAACATCATCAAACTGTAATTCACTTCAATAATCTAATAATAGATGTTAACAAAGGTACTGAAGTTGCATCATCATCGACAAATACAAATGTGATTAGAGATGGACAAATTCATCGAACATTCAAGTACATTGTATCGATTTTATCATATAAATATCTTACTTTTTCTTTGTTTAGATTTCCATTTCTTCGTCTACCTATCATAACTGACAGTAAGCCATACGATTTGAATAATATTACATGTGCCAAGTGTCAATCGCCTTTGAAGATCATTGCTGAAAAGTATAGTTCATTGCATTTTTAAACAATAGTGTTTATCTTATTTTTCATCATAGTCAAACTTTTAAAATTGTTCAACAGCAAAATGCTAATGCTGATGATATAAATGAAGTCATGTATTGTCATCGATTTTGTGAAGCTCATCAACATGAACATAAACATCATCATCAATATCAGTTGCCTGTTCCTCTTGATCTTCATTCTGAATTGATTATACTTGAAACTACCGAATGTTTAACTATTGCAAAAGAATATTCATCTTCAGATTTAATTCATGATGAACTTGTTCAATGCAATCATTGTTTTTCATGTCTTGGATCATTTGGTATGTTAAATTCAATATTCTCATTAATTAAAACTTCTATTTTAATGAGGAAAATATTTTTACTCGTCCTATTGAATTTCACTCAATTTTTTTGTAATTCTTAGATGTATTTTTATTTAGATCCTCAAAATAATCTTGTCTCGTTCAACAAATGTTCACTTTTACCTTTTGCAAACAATTATCTATCAACATGTTTTCATCACTGTGAACCAGGTCGATACATCATCAAAGTGCCAAAGTCTAATGATTCAATATTCCTTGTTTGGATCTTACCTAATCAAATACTATCTGCTAATACAATGATTGATTCATCAAAAAATTCTACTCAACTTGATTTTTATCGAACGCGAAAAGTTCTCTTCACTCATGTGACATCCTCAGATAATCAAATATTTACTGAATGGAAACGAGACTTTTCTGTAACAACTCTTCTTGTTAATCGTCCTTGTCTTGATCATTTAGCAATAGCATTTAAACAAGCAATAGAGAAATTTCCTAATGTATTCAATAGTAATGAATCATTTCAATCAGTAACTATTTCTTGTTAAAAATCATTGTTATAAATAAAAACTAAAGAATAGATAATTATCTATGTCTTATTTTGTGTATATACATATCAAACGAAAAAGTCAGACAGTATGTTGTCTTCAACGATTAATCCTTTGTTTGTATCAAGCAGTATAAGTAGTAACAAATGTAAAATGTTAATAAGACCAAACAGCAATTAGTTGACGATCGAATGAACGAACAAAAGAAAAGAAATAATGATATCTATCTAGTTCATTCATCAGCATAGATACAAAAGCAAATTATTTGACACAAATAACTATGGAATCAAACGATAGCAATCCAAAAGATTGTTCTACTATATATCGTTTTCAATTTGCTAGTATAGCTTTTCTGTGTAGTGTTTATCTTCCATTTACATTTCATTCAAATATATGGTCACTTTATACACAACCATTTACACCAGTTAATTGTTCAATGAATAAAAATCCAGTTATTTCTGGATTAACATTAAACACTCCAATAAAATCAATACTTCCAATTCTCATAAAAAATTATAATCGAACGGATTGTTGTCCTTGTAAAGAAATTCTTAATGGAAATATAAATGATAAACGTCTATGGATTCGTTGTCAATCATGGATAGCAAGTCTAAATGAATTAGAAGCACGAAAAGCAACTATTATCGATGAAGTAAGTTTAATATCGTACTCAAGAGTATAAGATCACAAATGCTAACACAAAAAAAAGGGGATAAAAATTTTCATCCTGTATCCTGTCCTGCAGGACGCAGTACGCTAGCAGAGTTTTCTGTAAAGCTTTCGTTTTGATCGATGAAAACGATCATATCTATGTATACACTCAAATCTTTTATTCTTTTTTTTTCACTTTCACTTAACCGTGCAGGAAATATTTGAGACGAAAACAATGATTTCAAAATTTTGTTGATGCCTTCTGTAATGATTGTAGTTGATAGTTTTATCATTTGTAATGCACATGCATACTCACTCAATTGGTTCATACCATCTGAAGGACTATAATTATATGTGTTTTGACAAATGCGACTACTCATGTAACTTTCAATTCGTTTGCATTCTCTATCATTATTTTTTATTACTGAAAAACCAAATGCTTTCCAAAATACAGGTTTTAAATTCATCGCTTTGTTTATGGTTATTTGATACAGACTAGTCTCATTTTGTTATAAAACATCTAATTTTCACTTATTGAAGATTTACTAATTTAGTATCTTATTTGTTTTCATAGTGGAATTTAGCTTGTGGGCATGAAAATCGCAAAAACCTTATGATAGGTTCTATATCCTTTTTAATTGCCGAGCTCATTGGTGTTATATTAATTGGCATTTTAGCTGATCGATATGGAAGAAAATTAATGTTTTTAATGTGCCTTTATATACCAGTGGTATGTGTTAAGAAAACACTTCAGTTTTTTTATTTCTTCCATTTTTTTTCAGCTTTTCGGATCGTTGGCTACTTTTACTACAACCTATACTCTATTTCTTATTCTTCGTTGGCCTGTAGGATTTTTCAATAGCGTTAGTTCATATTTAATTCAGTTAATCGATATACTTTTTGTTTTTTTTTTTTTTTTTTTTACCAAACTTTAGGGTCTTCTTTTACTTGTTTTTATAATGGTTATTGAATCATGTGAATATAAACATCGGGCACAAATTGGTTGTCTTCTTCTTGCTTCTATACCTATTTTTGGTATTATTATTGGTGTTACTTATTTTTTTCTATCAGATTGGCGTCATATGCAATTACTTGGTATTATTTTCACTATTGATTATTTTATTTCAAATCTTACTCTTTCAATTTAGGTACATTGATTACTACTTTAACACTTTGTTATCCATGGTAAAAAGAAATTCTTTTCTTTTTGAAATTTTATTAATTGAAAATGATAGGTTAATACCAGAATCTCGTCGATGGTATGTGAATAGTAATCGTATATCACGTGTTAATAAACTTTTACAATTATGTTCGAGTACACAAACACCAACACTAAGTTTAAATAAAGTTGGTTCACCTGCACCAACAACTATTATCTATGATAAACCGATTTTATCAACAAATACTCGTCGTGTTCAAATAGGTTCAATATCTTTTTTACTAATCAATCAACAACTTCGTACAATTACTTGTTGTTTATTTATACTCTGGTTTGATTCTTTTTATTTTCTTTTCTTTAATTTTATTGAAATAATTTATGCTTCGATTTTTTAATTAAAGGTTTCTTTCATCATTTTGCTATCATTCAATATTTTTTCCAAGAATACTTTCACATCCAACTATCAATTATGTTTTGATGAATGCAACTGAATTTTTTTCATTTATTATTGCACTTATTGTTGCTTACAAGTAAGTTATGAATAAATAATAGAATAGAAAATATGATTAAAATATGATAGAATTGGTCGTCGAGCTCCATTAGCTGTACTTATTTTAATTAGTGGTCTTTCTTCTGTTTCATTAGCGATTACATTACTTGAAACAGGTTTGATAAAGGAAAAAAATTCATTTTTATAATTAGCTTTATTTGAAAGGACATACATGGCTTGAAATAATATTATCCTTTGTTGCTCGTACGTGTTTTCGAACTTGTTATTGTCTTCTGATTTTATTTACAGCTGAACTTTATCCAACATCAGTTCGGTAAAATTGTTGTTGTTTTTTTACTATTTATAAATGACATATGAATATTTGATTTGTTTTGTAGAGCAACAGGTTTGGCTGTTGGACTTGCTAGCGAAGTTCTAGCACGAATTTCAGTTGAACTTCTTCTTTATGTATGTTAAATTTTAAATTTTCGTATTTTCTTTTCCTTTGCCTAACGTAGACATTTTGTGTATTCTCTTTCAACTATGGCCTTGAAGTGGAGTTCGATCCGACTGGAGTCTAAGCTAATAGTTCTTCACTAATGAAATTTTTAATGAGATCCTTGCAAATACAATCAGATGGACTTCCTCATTTAGGACTAGAAAGCCATTGTATGCGTTAATGAAACGAATTATAAAAGTTGCTGTCTATGTAAGGCCGAATTGTAAATAGTCAGTTCAGAAAATGTTTCAAACCAGTGAAAAACTGATCGCTGTGCAAACAGCGATCCAAACTTAAATTTGATCTTTACTATAACATGTGTCATTCAAGTTTAGCTTCTGTCACCTGGTTTTGATTGTCCTTTTTAAAAAATGAAATATACTTCCATCCAAGAAATAAACTAATGTGGACGAACATAAGCAAATCACACTTGCTCTCAACAAGTTTTATCAGAGAAAAATATAATATCTATAAAATATTTTTCAATCGGGAAAAATCGGCCGGATCGGACCCATTACAACTTTATTGTAAGATTTCTTTGCTATCACCACTGCAATATTTTATAAGTTACTTAACCTCAGCATTAGACTTCGAACTGTTAATCAGTCAATCACACCTCATACGGAAAATTATACTTATTGACACAATGGTTCTATTGAGATCTATCCACGTTACTAAATATGATGATTTCTAACTCTGTCAAATCAGATAATAATTTCATTGAATTTTTTTTAATATAGTTTACTATTGATCGATTATTGCCTTTATTTATATCTGGTGGTATGCTATGTCTTAGTTGTTGTTTAATATTTCCATTACCTGAAACAAAACTCTATGATATACCTGATTCACTTAATGATCTTCAATCCATGAAACGTTCACTAGGAGATGAAAATGGCAATAAAATATTACCATATCATTCTCGTTATCATATGATCGATTCAAATACACTTACACTTGCTCGTATATCAGAATCAAATACAATAGCATCGGATCTTAATGATTTATCTTCATTACATGCTAAAACAATTATAAAATCGCAACAGCAAGGAGATAGTGATGAAAAAAGTCTAACGATTCGTTCTCAAGCTGAAACAATTCAATTACATTCAAATACATCATCAATAAAAGGTCTATCCAATCCATGTTATTTTGGATCCTTAAATAATACAATCGATCAATTTGATATTGAACAACAAGCAAATAATCGAGTAGTGATTAGTATTCGAGGTGCACAAAATAATAATAACAATAATAACAATAACGAAGAAGAACGAGAAAATACTAAATTTTAAAAAGAAATATATGTATATGTATATATATTGATAATTCATGAAAAATGTCTTTGTTGTATCACTTTTTTTATTTATTATTAAAATATGAAGAATTTATTAAAAATAATATTGAGAATAGATCAATACGAAACTTATAAATTAAATGTATAACATTCAAGAAACAATTAAGCAAATATTAAACTAAGAATGTTTTGAAACTTTGATAGATCAGTACGATAAAAAGGAAAATATACTTGTTGAATACTTGATTTCTTCTTTTTTACGAATTTATTCGATGATGTCTAGCCTACTCAGATTTCTTGATTAAGGAAGCTTAGCTCTCTAAAATGTCCGACTTCCTGACAATTTTTCACAGCTTCGTGGTAACTTTGGACAGTAATGAATGGTTGGACTTGGATGATCAGGTAATAAGTTGGCTGTTGTGAGAAAGGACCAAGTTACGGTGAGTTTTGTTCTCTTCACCTTATCTGCCTCTAGATATATCTTAGTATAGAAAAACATAGTATATATCGTAAAAGAGAAATGAATGAAATGAGTCAAACTCAAATATTAAACAGTCTTTATTTATTAATAAATGATCGAGGAAGTTCAAAATAAAAATAATCATGTGATATGAAAATATAGATAGGAAAGAATTTGATTCTTTCTCCGAATATAAAGTCATCTATATGAATGATATTTATCATTCTAATAATGCAGACAATGTCTAATAAAGATTTAAATCGATGAACATCAAAGAATTTTATATAGGTAACAAAATTTTGAATGTACTTAACCCTACGACATGTGAAATAATCACATACGAGTATAATCGACCTATTGTCCATTGACATACAATCGATTCGTTTTGATATAAAAATAAAATTGACGTTAACGAGTATGTCATGCGGAGAAATTATCCTCAAATTGGGTTAGGACAGAATATGCGTATCGATATGATACTTTTTCATTGAATCTTATTAATTTGATACTCATTATCACGAAATGTTATTGATTTATATCCATGTATTAACTTCTGCCAATTTTCTCATATTAAAACCTATCTAATAAAATACATATAAAAATCTATTAAATTGGAAAAAATCAGTCAAACATAATAGTTAATCAATATTTCATCTCAAAATGAGAACATTCTTATAGTCTAAAGTGGAATTACTCATGAACAAAATGCAAACAAATTCAATATATATGTCCAATAACTAGATCGATTGATACTTAGTGAAACGTCAAACAGTTCAAATACTTTTCTTTTCTCTCTTATATATACTTCTCTCTGCGAGAAAAAAAATATCAAACCTAATGTGCAACACTCATTTCTCGTACGATTTTTATCAAGTAAAGATGTATATATAACAATACAATGAAAATATTTAAAAAGCCGAATATTGGTGATTGTATAAAAGTTTAATGAAGAGAATGAGACATATGAATATATACATATATTGTAAGTAATTCAATATAAACCGGGATAATACTTGAAAAAAATATTTAAATATTTGGTTTTCTGTAAATCACCTCTGTTTTCGAGTTCATTCGTATTATTCAATATATAAACTCGAACTCACGGGTGGATATACAGCCAGATTCGCGACATACAATTATTAATTTTTATAATAATTTACTTTCTTAGACATTTGTATATTGCACAAGCTACAAATATATATGATTATGAATTTTCTAGGTTGTTATATTTTTCGATAATAATCGAACATATCCGACCAATCTTGCATTCAATGATAGATTAAATTTTTATATTTAGAAAAAAAAAACAAAAACAAAGATATCTGAATTCATATTATTTATCTAAGAAAGTTTGTATCCCAAGATCAATAGAAATTCTTTATAGAACATAACACAACAAGAAAAACTTCAATTAATGTGATAAAATAATTATCTAAAAACGAATATTTGCTTGTTTAATGAATATGTATCACCTATCCTCAAAGTTCCATCTAAAAGATTTATTCATTTTTCCAAAATGATAGGTTAGCTATATATCAAGTCTTCAGTTATATGAATACACTTCAAGCGTATTCTTGGAAGCGATCGCTTTTAATTCGAATTTGTCAGTTGCTCAAATAAAATAACGTGGAAAGATACTTTCTGTGGACTTTTCGAATTCCTATAGATTTAAAGAACTTGTTGCTTTTTTATTCTCAAAGTTGCAAAACATAAGAAATAATACATAAAGAACATGGATTTTGTATTGAACACATCATTTTTTTCAATGGATTTCGGTTATGAAGTCTTCTTTGAGACAACAGATGTTTGTGCGACAATGAGGTATTTCAGCGAATTTGTATTTGAGCAGATATTGAATGTACTAACATTCAAATTATAAAAACCATTGGACACATGTCTCATTTCTGAAAAAACACTTTCGACATTGGTGTTACTTGTTGGTATAAAGCACAAAATGAATCATATCGATAATAATAGACTATAGACGATAGCTACCACAACTTACTTGATATTAACAGTATTTTATTGTTTCAAATTTTTCAATAAAAAATAAATCAAATTTTGTCATATAAGAAAGAGGAGTAAGTGGCAACTCTGCCTCTAACTGAAATATAAAAGTTTATCTCTTTTTCTATATGGAAAAGATATTATGCAATGATTATTTTAATTGCTTCATTTTCTTGGATGTTACTCACTCGATCACTATCGACGCATTGGTTAATAATCACAGCTGCTATATTTACCCTCAAAGTGATCGATGTGGCCACTTCGAAGTTGTTATCTATAAACAAACTGAACGTTGGATCAACACATAACCTTGGCATGCTTCAAAGCACTTTTAACCTGATATTATAAAAAAAATAATTATTCAAAATCTAAGATTTCAGCAACATATGAAATCGTCAAATTGCTCCAAGATGGCTCATTACTGTCTGACAGATAAGTTTGATAAATAGGTAGTTTAGAAGAGATGGATTCATTTCATAAGTTTTGTGATCACTAGACTTAGCCCTACTGAATTTCATTGTATGAAAATATATGAAAACAAAAGTCTATTTTTCTGCACATAAAAAGAAGCTAAATTTGTGCATTTTGGTTAGAGCTAATAACTTTGAAATGGGTTTTTTGAACTTTGCTCATGTCATAAGGAACTTGATGGATAGACTTATTATTAAAAAATGTTAGTTAATAAAGTTGAATCGAATAATGAACATATACTGAAAAGCTTTCGGAAAGGAACTTTTGTGATACCTTGTTGATAATTGAGATCAATGAATACTTCATCCAATGGTGAAAGAACTCATTGACAATTACATTTGTCGAGCAAAATCGAACAAAGTGAGTGACAAAATATTTCATATGTATCCATCTCATTTGAATTAACAAAAAGTATTACATAATTGAATAATATTGATGATTATAATAGATTTTCAATGGAAACGTCGTAATAAAAAGCAATTAATTCAATTTATCATACGTTAACATAAAATATGGCGATATAACATGACATTAACTTAATAACCTAACAGATTATAATAATCGTGTACATAATCAAATTATGAGGTAGAAAATTTTGATAATAATGATTTAATAATAATAACTTTTTAGAAACAAATGTGATTCGAAAGCTATAAATTTTCAAGAAAAATTTCACTATTTTACGTCAACAAATTTCATTTGGACTCGATTCCGATTACTAAGACAATAAACATAATTACAATTATTCACGTAATATAATCCAATGATTCCATAGTGCCTATTATAACTCTAAGAATTTTCATCTATTAACAAAGTCATAAAAATACCCACTTGAAAAATATTCGTTAAAGACAATATAATATTCGAAAGCAGTCCTACATAACTTATAAATTTTATAGGTTGACTTGGGAACCGATAATGAATATAAGTAATATAACGACAATTAAGAGGACCAGTCAAACAAGTATAAACATGCGTTTTTAATGATGAGATATTTAATGTATCTTTCAGAATAGGTATGATCAGATAAAAAGAAAAAGTTAAATTTCAACAAAATAATGACTCAAAATAACATCTGTTTTTTTTTTGTTCATAAGATTACAATTAATTGTTATGTTTGTAGTTCACAATTTCCATTAATAAAACTTATGTACTTCGTTGCATAAAATAGTGTTTGAATGACAGGTAAGAAATGTTCATCAATGGTGTTCATCCTGATTTGACAATCTGCCTGACGAGATCAAAATTCTGATTTCGAACTGGTAGAAACTGTCATTTGAGTGAGTATGCGTCGGCGAGACTAGATGCGTGGATGAAGAGTGGATCCACACTGACACTTCGGAACTAAATTAGGTTAGATAGTAAGTTAGTAGTTGAGAAAAACCAAGCTGTAATTCATGATGCACACACCATGGTTGAATAGATGGTGTATTTATGAATAGAGATGATAAGTATTCAGAAAGAGTGAAAGTAACGAATCATCACTAAAAGCTAGACCGTCGAAATGAAATGAATGAACATAGATGATCAAAAGGCATTCAGTGATGTTCCTTTCAGTAATATTTGTTTCGGCATGATTTTCGGCGATGAGATACAAAGTCAGTGGAAAAGCGAAACCAAATCCAAAAAAGGATAACTTCTGACTTCGATGTACAATAAAAATTATAGAAGTTTACCCTTAAAACTCAATTCCTAAAACTATGCGAGAAAAGTTCCGACATTATTTATACTGAGTAAGAAAAAGAAACATCTAATCCATTCTATTAAAATCGCTCCAAAACTGACGATTTTATCGCGATTTAGTTACTCGATTAAGAAGTGACATTATATTGCAATAATTCATGAAAACGTAGGCGATTTGAAGGATATCGGTTGCTGTTGTGCTATGATTCCGTAATAGCATTGGATTGTTATTGAGAAATGCTCATCGAGTCATAAGTCATACCTTTCACTGTGGTTTTAGATATGTTGAAAAAGATTCGATTTCGTCTCAAGGCCATCTTACCTTTACCTATCAGAAAGTTGTTGCTGTTCACATTTCATATTTCATTTTCTTTTAA